TTTCTTTTAAAAACTGAACCCACAAGTTTTGGCAATGAATTTTCTTCTAATGGGGAGCGTACCTTATAAAGAAGAGAGGAATAAAGGAAATAGGGTTGACAGAAATTACATGGGTGCGATGAAGTATCCCATTCGTTCGATAATTACTGAACTTCTGGGAGCAAACTGGAAAAAAGATAATCGCAAGAACTTCAGAAAAAAAGGCAAGAACTTGAGAAAAGGCGGCCCTTATTTCTCAAGGCAAGAACAAGGAACAGGCTTGAGGAACAGAAGGGAACAGGCGAAGGTATACTTGAATGTCTTGAAAATTTCGCGGCTCTGGTGGGCCATGCGACACTCTTTTGTCTTCGCAAGATATGATTTGGATAATTGACTTTTACGTGCCGATGGGCTTACCTTCACCACTTATCTGCTTCTTGGTTAATACTCGTTATTATTAAAAATTGTCTTGCAACATAAATATTGGGGAATATGAATTTCTTTACGATTTTTAACGGGCGAACGATACGTTCCCTTTAGTATGAAAAATTGAGCTAGACGTGACGTGACGTCAGTAGAGTGTTCGTCTGTCTCGCCCGTATGTCCATCATCTAATGTGTTTTTCCTTGTACGCTCTTGTGTAAATGCGACGTTCAAAAGACTTAAGTTGCAAAATATCAGAGATACAGGTCTCTTAATTGTGTTTCTCGGGGTTCAGCGTTTATGGCAACTCCTCAATTAGTTAAATAGTTGATTAATTTACTGTCGCGTCTTGACTATTACTGATGTCCACTGCCGAAACCTGAAACCGAGGGGTTAGCATAGAGGTGGGTCAACTTGTTCAGTATAGTGTTTTAATGTCAAATAGTTATCTATTATCAGCTTGTCAGTTAACAGTAACTCCCTGTTTTGTCTTTTTCTTCATTTCTTTTTAATCTTTGCTTTGCTTGATTTATAAGACTATTTGTATTGCCCCTAGCTCAGCTTGTTCATAATCTGAAAAAAATTCTTGGTGTTCCAATTCAACAGATATTAAAACAATGAGCCATGTCCTACACCGAGCTAGAGCATGGATACCAGGGTCTGAAGAAAGCACGGCCAGCATTTTATTTTGGTGACTCCTCTGTTCGATCTGTCAGTCATCGGGTATGTGAAACTGTCAATTTTCTATTTGTAAATTAATGCCATTCACCTTCCAATGCTGTACTCCAACAGGAGTGGTTTCTATGTTTCTTCTATCTGTAGTGTGATTTTCAAATTAATAGGGATCCGATTTTCTCGACAGTTAACTGTGTATCTTGTGCATCCACTGTCGATATGGATATGGTTTATTTCATGTTCATTTCCCAACATTTTATGATTAAATCAGCGTTGGATAGTTGATCATTTAGAATTTTCGGATAGCAGCCAGTATTCATAGTACCTGCTATTGTTACTTTAGACATAAAATGTCTACAGTTTTAGCAGCTGTTTTGTTTCTTAACAGAGGTGCTGATGATGGAGCATTACTTGAACTCGGTGCCAGATGTGTATATCGTCGATATCGACAATACTGCAGAGCCGTATTGGCTGCACATGGTAGCACACCTTTTTATGTACAGATTTGACTGTACCTTTCGAAGCATGTTTAAGTATAAGGAAAATGAGAAGCAGTTTTCCCCTTTTGTGTCTTCAAAGAAGGAATTTCTGCAGCTTAAATAAAGCGTTTCTTGGCTATGACAACTGCTACAGTCAAATATTTGCTTCATTGGATTTCACTATGTAATTTATAAACGTCACTTTCTAGAACTGCACTTCTTTTCCTTTAAAATATGGAACTGAATATGCTGTGTGACTCTGTGCTGCTGGTGTTTTGCTTTGCATAACAACTCATCAAAATTGTTTTTGTCATTCATGATTTATATGGAGTCTGAGTCTTATTCCCTTTTTTGAATAACAGTGAAAGGAAGCTCTTTGGCTTCTTTTCTTCTCCTTGACACACTTTTATAATTTCTGTGTACTGGTTTGTTTTGCGCTGTCCATGTATGCAAAACTGTACTCTTCTCTCTCATACCTCTTTTGTATCTTAAGGTTTTTTTAAAATTATTATTAATTTATGTAGTGTCTATTTCTTAGCACTCATGGTTTCCCCCTCCTCTACTCCTGTGAAAGGAGTGAGGCAGTGTGTTTGTCAGTCTTATCTTGATTGTTTGGGGAGCTAGCTTCAACTATGGGATCTCTACTGCTCTTGTTCCTTCTATTCATGTAGGATCTACTACAACCAATTGACGTACACAAGCAATTGTCCTTTATCACTCCCTTGTAAGTTTAAAAAAAACAGTGGTAAAGGTAATATTCTAAAGATTTATTCGTATTATTTGAATTCTGGTACAATTGACATTTAGTGATGACTTCTTGTTTTATTTTTTAAAAGCCCGTAGACTTGTCATTTGGTCAGTCCAATGGATCCCTGGAATTGGTGGAAAGGGTGGTGGCGTTTGAAACGATGGAGAAGCGATGAAAAAGAAGTTGTTTTCTGTGAAGAATGTGTATGTCAATCTTACTTTATACATTCTCATCTCTCAGTGTCCTCGTACTCTCGCACTGCTCTGCAGAAAATGTTGACTCTCATTGCTAATTGGTGGGTGCTAATTGTTGAAATCTGGAGGCACTGTCTCTTCTAAGACATCCTTAGTCTTCTTATTTAGTTGCAATTTCTTCACTACATATTTTAATACATATTGTCAAACAGAACACGCAAAATATTCCTATTCCTTTAGGAATGGAAAAAAACAGGAAGCAAAGACAAATTCAGTAAACAATATGTAGCTGTCTCGTTTGCAGGCTTTAGACTAACTGTGTTTGTAACTTGAGGGGCTTTTCAAGGCCTCTGCTTGGCTGATTTCTAATTAGAACGTATCCAACAAGTGACAATTGCAGCCAGTCTATACCTCGCATTTGTTAGGAAAGAGAGTGGTTCCAGTACATGATTGTCTTTGTGTGCTTACTCACCTTTTGGTGTCCTTTTAGGGTTTTGCTGCTAATATGTACCACAATACTAATACAGCTTTTCATCCATTTAATCATTGCTTTTGCCCTTTCCATTTATAAATATCAATCAATGTATTCTAACACTAAACATGTATATTTTTGTGACAAACTAGGTGCAACGGATGTTTAGCTGTTTCTGTGGTATGTTTACAAGGAGTTGGTTATAAGCTCGTCAAACATGTCCTCATCTTACATTCAGACCGTACAATCCATGAGATATTATGTTCTGGTGAGACTCAACTCAAACTGTTTTCATCCTTTAAAAAATAGTTGTACTGTTACAATTTTTCAGTTATGTTTTGAAGTACTGTAGTTAAAAATTTGAGCAAGTAATATATCTATCTATAATTTTTTTAAATTTTTATTTTTGGTATTGCTTGTGTTTCTATGATGTGGTCTCTCTAGACTGTAATCTCTTTTACAGTATTTCTTTGTTCCCCTTCCTTCAATTTCTATCTTTTCACAAGTCTAATGTAACTGGTCAGTTCTTCCTAATAATGGTAAACAAAGTAATTAGTTGTGTTAGATCACAATCACCACAGGAATAGCTTAATTCTAAATTACAATTATTCAATTAAATGTGGCTTTCTCCCCAATATATGATTCCTGGAACCTTTCAAAGAATTGTTTTTTGAAGTCCTGTTTACAAGTTTTGTTGGACAGAGGCATTTGAAGTGTAATTAATCAGTGTGGCATACATATTGTTTTTTGGCACTCGGGTAACTTGCTATTGGGTTTTCAATCAATTTTTGGTTTATGATGCTTATTTATGTCACAGTATATATTCTGACTGTTGCATGTGGTACTTCTCATTTTTTTTTTTTTTATTGCCCACCATTGAACTAATTTTGCATTAATGAAATTTGGTAATTTTTTTAACTATTTTTTTTCTGTGGAGTACAATACAGATGGCCTGGAAATGTCCTATGGGATTGAAACTTCCACTGTGCTGCTTCTAATGGACAACCAGTTTACTGTTTTGTGCATGTGTGTGCTTGAGTATCTGTCATCTCTTTGCAGAAGAAATATTAAAATTGATTTGTGCATATTTTGCTTGTGTGGAATTTGGTGGTCTGGGAGTTCGCTCTTTGTTGCTGTATGTCAAGAGTTCTATTTTGAAAGCTTTTGTGTGTGTATCTGAGTGTGCGTGTGTCATTGTGTGGATGCTAGCCTGTGAAGTGAGTAGATGGCAGTAAGATGAAAAAGAATCAATTGTGAGCCACTTGCTCACTTGAAAATAATTTGAGGGCTTATTCAATATATTACTATATCAGATCCCTTCCTTTTTTTGTCTAATAATGCAACAAAAACTAAACAAAATCGTCAGATTTTGTTCTTATAGTTAAATCTGAATGCTTGATTTTCTGAGTTTAAGTATGAATCACAATTGATTTTTTGCAACCTCATGAGACTAGGCCCCTAGAATAGTTTACACACACTAGGGGTCTACTGTAGACTCATGATTATACTGTGTGTTCAGGGTGTTCAGTCAGACACTTTCGTTGCTGTCAAACTGTTCTCATTTTGTGATAGTTAAAATATAATAACTGTCTTTAAGAAATAGAGCAAGTAAATTCTGGTCCATGATGTTACTGAAAGATTACATCGTCATCGTAACTTGAATCAATTTTTATAGTATCATACAATGATGTGGTTTTGACAAACACCAAGGTGAACTGTGTATAAATACTGCTCTCTGACTGACACTCACCTTTTCATTTTGTGTTCGTTCTCGGCAGAGTGACTCTTATATATCCCGGTCACATTCAGAGATAAGCCAAGCGGTATGCCTCGTTCGCACCTCTCTTGCTCACACGTGCACTTAATTAAGAGCCCCGTGACTGTAGTCGGACTTGTTCAACATCCGACCAGAAATTAGGGTGCGGCTGAAGAGCTCGTGCCCAATAAGCTCGGGTTTCTATCTCTGGTGCCATGATAGTCATTTGGATGGCGCAGGGCCAAGTCCTTAACAGCGTGCCGCTGCCCGGCCATAGGGCTGGTCTTTGGCTTTGGTCTTTGGCTGACAGACAAGGCAGAGATGCGCGGGGAAGAGGGGGGGAGGGGAGGGACGCAACTACATATTTAGGTGTCGCGCCGCGCCCTGGGCGTGCTTGGGGCCGCGAGCGCGGGCCGGTCCGCGGGGCCGAGCGCGACGGGCAGGGACACCCTATGTAGACTCGAAGAGAGGATGGCGTTGGCGGTCGTTGAGGATGGGGGTATATGGCACACCGTTCTCGACTACATCAGGGTCGTCAGAAACTTTGTCGTAAGTGCAGCTCTTCCTTCTTGACGAGCAGATCACCGTCGCGTCCCTATATACCTTCTCGCGTCGCCGCCGTCGAGGCGGTCGTGACCTCGAAGCAGCGCGCGCTGCGGGATCGGGCTGGCGGCCAGCGAGGAGGCGACTGCGGCCCTGCGGCCCTGCCAGGCTTTGGCCAGGCTTTGCCAGATGGAGCCTAGGTCAGGCCCCACTAGGCCGGCCGCCGCTGATAACCTCGCCCTCGACGTTATCCCCGCTGTCATTGTATATGCCCCAGCGTGTCAGTCGAGCCTTGCATTTCGCCGCTTACATACGTATCGTCGCGCCGCGCGCGGCTCAGCTGGCCTTCGCCCGCGCCCGCCCTCCGACAAGCTGTTTGTGCGCAGCTCCTTGCGGCGCCATGTACTATTACTACGCGGATTACCCGGAGAACTACCCCGACTGCTACTGGGTTGGTGTCTCCCCCGGCTGGTGGCCATGCTCCTTCCGCCCGTAGCTCGTGTGCTCCGTGTCCTCCCGGAGCGATGCATCCTCGACATCCCGTTCCGTGGTTGTTCGCCCGCGTTGCGCTCTCCCGTTAGCAGTTTCCATGGCATTCCCTACTCGCTGCCCCCCACCTCTCCCTCTAGGTTTCTCTTCCCCGTTCTTCCAGACTCGCTTTTGTCGTCTGCTAGACGTCCTTATTCATGGATAAACGATACTTAGATTGGCTGTTCGAGCATCAGTCTGGGAGTCGTGACAGAAATGTATGGAAGTATGAAACCCACTCCTCTGTAGAGAATCTCTCTACCTAATGTGAAAAAGAAAAACAACTGCTGTTGTTGCGCCTGACGCGTTCCGCTTGGTTTATGTCTTGAGCTTAAGCTTGACAGCGTAAACGGGGCAGAACAGACGCCATTTGATCTTTTGCTCATTGTACATTTTTGCTGATTTTTGCCTGTTCTACAACTGTTTTCTTTTCTGGGGACCTTCACTTATTGATAATTTTATGTACACTAACAGGGAGATCTCGCTGAGCTCGGAGATGATGAATTATCCGGAGATGAAGGGAATCAGGTACTGGTTGGCATTTGTGCCATGGCTAAGAAATCTCAATCAAAACCAATGAATGAGATACTGACCCGCCTTAGAGAATTTGAGTATCTTAAAATGGTTGTTTTCCCTGAAGAAGTAATACTCAAGGTAATACTTATTTTTTTCTTTAATAAAATATGTATCCATGTACTTGCATTGTTTAAAATGTATTAATTTGTTCAAAAACAGAAACCTGTTGAGGAGTGGCCTCTGGTAGACTGTCTGATATCATTCCATTCCAAAGGATTTCCTTTAGACAAAGCTATTCAGTATTCGCAGCTTAGAAATCCATTCATAATAAATAATTTACATATGCAGTATGACATTCAGGTATTTTATATTCTACATTTGCATTGATGTTCCCTCACAATATTTACAATTTGAAAACGAAAGGCATTTACTTTCTATGTTCCTTATTTCAGGATCGCAGGAAAGTTTATTCAATTCTTGCTGCAAATGGTATTGAAATTCCAAGGTATGCAGTTCTGGATAGAGACTCACCTGATCCAAAGCGTAAGTATGTTGTATAATGTTGAGTTTGGCAAAACATGATTGAAAAATGTATCCACCATAGAGTGTGATCACACCAGTGACCTTACTGTGCAAGTTTTTATTATCTGAATTTTGCTAATGGTCTTTTCCAGATCATGAGTTAGTGGAGTCTGAGGATCATGTGGAAGTTAATGGTGTTGTGTTTAACAAACCTTTTGTCGAGAAACCAGTTTCGGCTGAAGACCACAATATTTATATTTATTATCCAACTTCTGCTGGAGGTGGTAGTCAAAGATTGTTTAGGAAGGTGAGAGTGTTTGAATTTTGAATTTTTATTTGTAGTGATGTCTTTTCAATTGGGGTTTCTTTCTTTATCTGTAAGATTATGAGTGCATTCTCTTCAAGATGAATTTATATTTGAAAAACAGTTAATCTTTCTGTGGTATGTTCATTCACAATTTCCCCCCTTAACCTTTGATAACCCATATCCTCAGTCACTAGTTATTATTATCCCTTATTAGACTCTGTTTTGGTTTTGTTTTCTTTTTTGTGACAAATGGTCATCTTGTCTTTTTTGTAATGAAAACCTGAATACTTTCTCCAAAACACCAATCAAAGCTGTAGAAGTAGATAAACTGAATGTGAACATTGTTTTCTTGCATGCTTAGCTTTGTTATTTGTTTGCTTTATGACCATGCAGTAGTGATTAAGCTTCACTCCTTTTTCTCTATGTGCCATTAAGGAAATTGAAAATCATTTCATTACCTTGCTTATATTATTTTGCTCCACTGTTGTCTAGTCTTAGTTTGACAATTCAAAGTGTTTACCATCTACTTCAATTTTACGTAAATTTTTCGTTCAGTATATTTCATAAGCAGAATGCCATAAGAGGAAGAAAGAAAAGACTGTGTGACGTTATCTTTAAATTTAGTTTAATGTAGTTTGGAAGGAAACTTTCTGGAGGATTTAGTTAAAGTCAGGTAGCTGGCGTATTGTGCTTGTTGTTTCAGCCGACGCACAGAAAGAAAGCAGGCGATAATAAGAGCTGTTCACAACAGCTGCCCTGCAAAAGCAACGTTGTTGTTGTGAGTTTATTTTAAGGCCCTTTTTTTTTCATGCTTGGCTCATATCATGCATATCAACTTAAAAGTGTCTGTGAATTTATGACGTACTTTTACATACTGTACATTTTGCCAAAATTTTCTATAATTCACAAAGCAATGCTCTACAATGTGTGTTGCAGATTTTCTCAAGTGATTGATCGACTTTCAATCCCTTCCCCTCCCACTTTGTGACCAAATTGGTTACTTTCCCAGGCTGCACCTTTATTCTTCCCTTCTACAGAAACCTGTAAATAGCTTGTTGAAGTAAGCTTTCCACTTTACTCATAAATGTATAATGAACTATTTGCTATGTATCACAGTGGCACAGATATATGATTTTGAACTGATTATGCCATGGTAATTTTTTGTTGACATACTGGTGTACTTTACCCATAGCGGATAAGTTACAAGTGCAATGAGCTTTGGTATGGTTTGGTATGATAGGTTAATTTTATTGTTCTGCTGGCTAGCATTTATGTGAACCTACTTCCTAAAATCATTTGTAAATGAGAAACTTGAGCAACCCCTGTTCTTTATTACGCTAAGATTAAGAGCCCTCAAATTTAGACAGCATTATTTTGCCTTGTTGAATAAGGAAGTTCCCTTGGCACTATGTACAAAGTTTCACTTTGAACTGAAATGCAAATATTTTCTGTCACAAGTAAGTTCTCTCTTGCTCTCTGTTTCGTCCTGTTCTCACTCATTTTCTTTCCCTACTTTTGCTTTTTTTCTTTATCTCTCTTTCACTCTGTGTCTACCCTCTTGTCTGTTGTCCTTTTCACACTTTCTTTCCCTGCACCCATTTTGGAATAAGAAAATTTTGTGTTTTCATAGAGTTTTATCTTAATACAGATCAAAATACATATATTTATTTTTTAAAAAATAGAGCCTCTGTAATAGTGTTGCTGTTTTAATTTCTTTGGTCTTTATGGTGTGATCTATAAAGAAGAAGTCATCATCTAGTTGTTCATCATTATTAGTACTACAAGCACCATGTTGAATGTTGATTACAAAGTACTGGGAATTTTGTTTTGTTAGGTTTGACATTAATCAGCAGAAATGCTTTCAGTTCAGAGTTTCCCCATGTACGTCTCAGTCTCAGCAGACTAAACAAGCATGAATTGAGATTGCTCTAGTGTTCTATCTTCATTTTTCATTTGATGCAATTGTACCCAATGCACATGCAGGTTACATAGCATCTCTTACTGATATTTCCAGCTTGAAATTCTGCCTTTTAATCATACTTCTTTCGGTTTGGATTGGATGGTTTATTTTATTTTATTTTTTATTTTTTTCAATCAATTCTAAACAGAGGTGGACCATGTCTTTAACTTCTGGTTCCAGCAGGAAAATACCCCTGGTACTTGTATGTTACACTGTAATACATAATCTTTACTTTTATGCATGCCTGATTTGTTGCATTGAAATAGTTTTAATTTTATGTCGCTTTAATAATGCACCTTTGTAGTCAGCTATTGAAGACTCAACCTTTTTTTTTTTTTGCGTTTTTTTTTTTTTTTGTAGTTTTAAAATATGTGATTTTGAATCTAATACTGTCTAAATATTAAGTACATGTTAAACACTTAAAGACTGGAAGTTTAACTTGGGGATTTGTAAAACCTTACCCTCCTAATACTAAATAAATGATTAGAAAATAAATCATTCTTTGTTTTAGATCGGAAGCCGTAGTAGTGTTTACTCACCTGAGTCCAGAGTAAGAAAAACTGGATCTTTTATTTATGAAGACTTCATGCCAACAGATGGCACAGATGTTAAGGTATGATTTTAATTTTCTTAATTGCACTATTGAACACTTAGTATAGTTTTTCATTTTTGATGTAACTCTGATTTGTTTCTAAAGGTTTATACAGTTGGTCCTGACTACGCACATGCTGAAGCTCGAAAATCTCCAGCTCTGGATGGCAAGGTAGAACGTGATTCAGAAGGAAAGGAAATTAGATATCCAGTCATATTAACAAATGCTGAAAAATTAATTTCGCGAAGAGTGTGCTTGGCATTTAAACAGACTGTTTGTGGCTTTGACCTGCTCAGGTATTTTGCATTACATGCAGCATTAAAAATATGTAATTTAATTTATCTAAAAAAAAATCTTACTTGGACACTTGTTGTTTTTGTTTTTTGTTTTTTTTGTTTGTTTCTTTTAGGGCTAATGGGAAATCATATGTTTGTGATGTAAATGGTTTTAGCTTCGTGAAAAACTCAAATAAATACTATGATGATTCTGCCAAAATTCTCGGAAATATGATATTGCGGGAACTAGCCCCCACTTTGCACATTCCATGGTCTGTTCCTTTTCAATTAGACGATCCACCATTTGTACCAACCACTTTCGGAAAGATGTAAGTTACTCAAATCGTGGCTGAACTCTGATTTTCCTATGTTTTCTGTGCTATTATTGCTAATATCTTTCTGGCCATAGGATGGAATTGAGATGTGTTGTTGCTGTTATACGGCATGGAGACCGCACACCCAAGCAAAAGATGAAAGTTGAAGTTCGTCACCCAAAGTAAGGTTCTTCCAGATAATTTCATGATGTGTTCTGCAGTTACTATTAGTTTTATTAAACATATTTTTTGTCCTAGATTCTTTGAAATATTTGCTAAGTATGATGGATACAAACATGGCCATGTAAAATTAAAGAGACCTAAGCAATTACAAGAAATTTTGGATATAGCTCGCTCTTTGCTCTGTGATATAAAAACGCACTCAGCAGATTGTGAGATAGAAGAAAAGCGTGGGAAATTGGAGCAGTTGAAAAGTGTTCTTGAAATGTACAATAATTGCGTAATAACTTTGCAGTTACTGAAAATTTACAGTGTTTTCATCCAAGTTAGATCTTTAAGCCTAAAATTAGTGTGCTATTTTATTTTCCTTTCTGTCTATTTCAGGTATGGACACTTTTCTGGAATTAATCGTAAAGTTCAGATGAAATATCAACCTAAAGGAAGACCTAGGGGTTCAAGTAGCGATGATGGTACAGATCTTAGTACGACAACTTTTTTTATTTTATTTTTTTTTCGCTTTTATGCAATGTGTTAATATGATTTGTCTGTGAACTTGTTTGTAGTTGTTCATGAGAACGAATAATTCACATCATTGTGAGCACCTTTTTAAAGTCTATATGAGAGGGCCATTCTTGAATCGAGACAACTACTAAACAATCAAATCTTATTTAAAAGGCATATCTTACATATTAATACCTCAATATGTACCCAATACTTATATTATTTTTTATGCTCCTTAGATGCACCTAAAGAACCTTCCTTGGTTCTCATATTAAAATGGGGAGGTGAGCTGACACCGGCTGGACGTATTCAAGCAGAAGAACTTGGTCGAATATTCAGATGCATGTATCCTGGCGGGCAAGGTAGGACTTTAATTGTAACTTAGATTCAGCAGTTTAATACTTCCTAATGCTGAGGGTCTTTTTTTCTAATGGTGTTTAAGCTTGTGTTTGAAACCGAGGCTCCTCAAGTTATTGTTTTTCTTCTTTTTTTTATGAACAGAAGTACACATGTACCTCTAATTATTTTTAATTATTTTGTTTCAATTTTATTTTTTGATGGTAGCACATATCAAACCTCTCTGCTAGTACAGGTTTTCAATTTGGTTTGTACCAAACTTGTTGGTGTTGACCTTTTGATCGGTTGACAGTTCAATTGTTAGAGTAATTCTGAGTTTTATAAATAAATATAAGACCGTTGAGTTTGAACTGAGTCCACAGGGAAATTAAAACTACATATCTTAATCAATCTGAGAAAGAGATTACATATTTGCTTGAACTGATATACTTCAAGTTTAGATAAATTAAGTTAACCAGGTTCTGAGTTTTACTTCACTAGTCTTGAAGTCTTTGAGCTGGAACTCATCTGACCCCCTGGGGGACTCGCACATCACTTAAGACATCGCTGCTGAGCTCTTCCTGGAACTCTTCCCAATGTATGTGTTGGATTGTATGTGAGTTTTGTATCAATTAGGTATGGGAAATTGAACGGAAGCTTCTACTAACATTTGCTGACAGCTCCTGCTAACCTGCCCTTGCCACTCCTTACCGATGCCTGAATGCTTGATAACCAAAGACAATTCTTTCTGTTGTTAATGTTTTATCTGAAGTGCACTACACTTCTCTTTTTCACCTCGGCAAGAACAAATTCTGGAAAAGTAATGACCCAATATTGATCTGCACATCATTATGATTCTTTTTATTAGTCCACATCTTATCTTTGAAAACATGTGGGTTATCAATAACTTAACAAGTATATCATTGAAATACCCTTGATAATGTAATTATAACATAATGATGACTTTGAAAGCACTAACTATCTCTTAACAAACTTTGATACTTGTAAATTAACTTTGCATTGAAAGCATTTCTTAATCTAGTTGTAGAAGTGTAAATATTAGTTGCCTACTTAAGTATCATTGTAAAAAATATTTGTACTGTAGTCCATTCAGTGTTCATTGTTGACTAAGGTATAGCAGAATAGCCTTAATTTTCCTTTGAACTCTTCCACTTTTTTAACACATCAACATTAAGTCACAGACATCACAGTTTGAGCCACAATTTTCACTGTTTTGTGTTTCATATTAAACATTTTGTAAAGGGAAAGACTAACTATAGCTTCTATTCATTATTCATTGTACTAACTGCATGGTGTGTAGAGCTTAGTCACAGAAGTGCTACATTAAAATCATAACCATGCTCACTTTAAAAAGAAAAAAAACAAAACATTTATTAAGCTTTTCAAAAATAATATTCGCTTTTTGCTTTCATTTAAATTAAAAGTTTTGCCAAACTGATTGAAATTATTCGAGTCTATTCTATTCCCTATGCAATAGTATGAGCCGAAGTATCAGCACCCAGCTAAATGTCTTGGTCCTTGGTATTATGGAGTGCATATCTTTGAACAACTACTTACAGGTTTTTTATGATACATAATGGTATAAAAAATCTAGTGGCTACAAAAGTATGCAACTTATCTTTGATAGGCCAACGTGGACTAAATAAATTTTCTTGATGGTGGAATTATTCAAATTTATCATTAACGTAATTATTTTTTTTCTGAATTACTTAAAGTAATTTTTTCTTTAATGCTTTTTTAAGGGAAAATGCCTTAAGGTGCCTCCAAATGTGTATCAGCTTTTTCACATTTGTTTGAATTAACTTCACATTTCATACCATTCTATTTCTGTAGCTTTAACAATTGTTCATACTCATGCCTGTGTTTCCACTGCCGTATATTTGACAGAATGGTGGGTGTGAATGTGTGTGTGAATGTATGAAAGAGAAAAAACATTGTTGCTTTTTCTTGGAATGAATTTGCCTGGGCTTCTCTTCCTCTGGGTGTCAAAATTGGGATAATGGAGGGCTTGATTTGCTTTTGAACAATCTGCCCCAACTAAATGCTGGCAGTGAGTCAATTGTGTTGCGAGTCTGAAGGGAGGGCTATGATGAACATTTGATGGACACAGGTGAGTATGCAGGCACTCAGGGTCTCGGGCTGCTGCGACTTCATTCCACATATCGCCATGATCTCAAGATATATGCGTCTGATGAGGGTCGAGTCCAAATGACTGCTGCTGCCTTTGCCAAAGGTTTATTGGCTCTAGAAGGGGAGCTGACACCAATTTTGGTGCAGATGGTGAAGAGTGCCAACACTAATGGTCTTCTTGACAATGACTGTGATTCTAGCAAGTTTCAGAACATGTAAGTTGTTTTGGTATCTTGTTACATCAATTATATTTGTTCAAGTTTTTCTGGTATTTGTCCATTGGATTTAAATCTGAAAATTTCTTATTAGCGCCAAAGCAAGACTGAATGAATTAATGCAACAAGATCATGAGTTGACACCTGATGACAGAGCCAAAATCAATCCTTGTAACTCACTGAGTATTGATCAAGCACTTGACTTTGTGAAAAATCCTGTGGCCTGTTGTGAAAGGATGCAAGAGCTTATTCAAAAGCTGGTGGAGATTGTCCATATTAAAAGAGATGATCCAAAAACAAGAGGTATACCCAGTCACCCTATTCCTAAGCTACATACACATTCTCTTAACTAACGATTACATTTATTTCACAGATGCAATTCTTTATCATGGAGAAACATGGGAATTAATGGGTCGGCGATGGGGAAAGATTGAAAAAGATTTCAGTACCAAAAACAAGAAGTTTGATATATCAAAGATACCAGACATTTATGATTGTATTAAATATGATCTTCAACACAATCAGCATACCTTGCAATTTGAACAGGCTGAAGAACTTTACATGTATGCAAAATATATGGCAGATATAGTTATTCCTCAGGTACTACAGCATGGTGTATGAAAAAAGATTCTTGTTTGTGGTGCATTACGATAATTATGTCTCATTTTGATTCACAGGAATATGGGCTAACACAGCAAGAGAAATTAGCCATAGGCCAGGGTATATGCACTCCACTTCTGAAAAAAATAAGGGCTGACTTACAGCGTAATATAGAAGAGGAAAGTGATGGAGAGGCTACTGTCAATAGGCTTAACCCACGGTTTGTAAAAACCCTCATTTTTGTGTAGCATTGGCACTTACATCCGTTTTTTTTTTCTAATTAAAAATAGCCTGTGTTCTTAATCAGGTATTCTCATGGAGTTTCAAGTCCTGGCAGACATGTTCGCACTCGTCTGTACTTCACAAGTGAAAGCCATGTCCATTCTCTACTGACAGTTTTGAGATTTGGAGGTCTACTTAATGTAAGAGTTGTCTGAAACATTTCTAAGGAATGTAAATGCATATTTTTTTTATTTATTTTTTTATTTTTTTAATTTTTAATTTTTTGTAATTGCAGGAAGTGAAAGACGAACAATGGAGGCGAGCTATGGAATATGTAAGCATGGTATCAGAGCTCAACTACATGTCTCAAATTGTTGTCATGCTATATGAAGATCCAACAAAGGATCCTTATTCAGAAGAACGGTATGTTTTCAGTTGCGCTTAACCTTGTTAAGAAATGTCAGTTGAGGTTTGATTGATTCAAATCCTAATTCACAGGTTTCATGTTGAGCTGCACTTTAGTCCAGGAGTCAACTGCTGTGTGCAAAAGAATCTCCCACCAGGTCCAGGTTTCCGACCTCATAGCCGTAATGAATCTAATAAGGCTTCACACCTAGTATGTCCATTTTGACTTGCAGGTTAATGATGTATTTTATAGAAAAAAAAAAACAAAAAACATGTGATTTTTCTTTAACAGGAGGAATCAGAGCAAGAAGATGATAATGGTAGCTTGCCATCTGGATCGCCTCAACCTCCAGTATGTTTAATTACTATCACAAATATCCAATTTAGTTTGTTGTTTGTATTTACATATTTGAAACTCCTCAACTGGTTTTCATCTTACAGGAGTGCCCGCCAGAAGTGGAACTAACACCACCAGTCAATATTGAGGGAGATAATCAATGCAACATCAAAGTTTCCAAACCAATTCCTATAAAGTATACTACAAAAACAAAAACAGTTTTCTATATAAAATAATCTATATTGCTAAGACTTCTCTCACCATTGATTGCAGGGTCTCACCCAGCAGGCTAGGGAGTGGTACAAATGTGTGCAGCCGCCTAGTTTCGAATATATCTGAAGAAGGAGATCCACAACACAGCAGTTCATATTCTGGAGCTCAGAAAAGTGAAGTTGACACAGAACATCGAAGTCGCAGCTTTGAACAGGCTAGAACGGAACCAAATTCATCACACTCCACTGGTCAGTTGCTCTTTCATGTTGTACAAGTTGACATGTCTTTGATTGGTGAAAATGTGTTGAATTTATAGTTTATTTGTCTGCTGCAGCTGACTCTAGGATGCTCCATCAAAGTTTGGACGCTGTCAACAAGCCAGGTATGTTTCTTCCAAAGGTGCCCTTTTATAATCCTACCACAATTCTTACAGCATGCTCTTCATTTACAAAATTTAATATATGAGCTTTTTACCTTTAAGTTACTGGTATTCCTCACATTTAAGGACTTGTGCTGATTGTGGATTTTTTCTTTGTATCAAAATTGTGTCTTTACATCATTGGTTCTAACAACTAACAGAAGATGTTGGACCTATTATTGTCATTTTGGTGCAGTCTCAGTTTCCATAATTGTCACAACATATATTCAGGCAGCTTTCTCTTCATGACCTTTCAGATTTTGTATTTGTTGAATTTTGAGTAGCATCTATCATGAAGAAATTCTTAATGGCATATTCAACTTTAGTTTTTTATTTTCGGTTCAGTGCTCCGTTCAGTGTTTCTCTAGTTTTATGTTCTGTCAATAAATGGTGAGCAGTGCCAATGGAATCACTTTGGAGCACTGAAAGATTAAGGGGGAGAGTAGAGCAAAAACTGTTTCACTTTTGCTTACCCTCGCACCATAATACATAACAACCGTTCAAAAAAATTAGAAGGTACTGCCTTTGTACCTTCTAATTTTAAGATATATGTAACATCAACTTGATTGCAGCTTGATTTTTGCGGCTAAAAAAATAATTCTCTAATCTTGAACAGAACAACTGATCTTATCATGTAGATTTATGCTATGGTAATTAGGATAACATATCCCCCCTTGCTTTTTAGGGGTCGTTTTTAGCCGAGGCACAACCACACAGTTACATTCTAGATAATGCTTCAGTGGATGCACATTAACTTAGCCTAGCCTTTTGTACAGAGCAAGGTAAATGTGAATACCTATACAGAAATTTTCCAAAATTCTTAAGATATTTTTATTGTTCATTCAAGTCCTACAAAATGTTTTCTTAAAATATTTTTTCCTGTATTTTTTTTAAAAATCTAGGCTATGATTTTCTATCAAAATCCCTCAAAGGCTATATTGAATTGTTTCTCTTGGGAAAATTAGACATTCATTGTGAGAAGGAAGGGGTACAGTGGTGTGTGCTGTGTTTATCTGTTTGCCTGCTCATCTGGATGGAGACGTCCGTGCCGATGCCCGCCTGAACCAACCTGTTCTCTCTGTAGGTCCCACAGTCCTCTCTTTGTCAGCTGCTGCTCTCTATAATCATTCGTTGCCTAGAGTGGTTTGGGAAGTGAACAATATGCATAAGTTCATTTTGAGGCAAAGAATGATGGAAAGATTGCCATCAGATTTGACAAACTAAAGAATGAGAGAGGGTGTGTGGTGACCAACCCTTTCCCCTTCTGTTCCAATTCACAACCTACACTGATCTCCTCTTTTCTTTTACATGCATGGCCCTTGCATGTCCTCAAATACTAATATTCTGCTACTTCTACCAAACCTTGGTTGTCCTTCTAACCATTTTGGTGCATGTGATTTTTTTGGTTTTCTTAGGGAAATTCTTTTTGTTTCCTTTAACAGTGTTTTCATTAACCATAAAGTTAATATATAAGTTTCACAATCGATACTTCTACTACAAGCTCATACATTTCTACAGAATTTTATCTTTAAGATGAGAGTTATAGGAATCCATATGCAACAGAGTAGCTGTTGCTTATTACTGCTGAGATTTAATTTCGATAAATGATCTTATTTTCTCTTTTCATTTCTTACTCTGTTCTTCCTTCTCTTATTGCCAAACTAATCTGATATACCTGTTAACATCTGTCTTGTTGCTCCTCATGTGGCTCTGTTGGAGTAGTTATTCATACTGGCAAAAGTGATTCCCCTCAGATAACTATATCTAATGATTCAGATTATTTTGCACTACTAAGCCGGGGGAAACGACTAAGTAGCTCAGCAGATAATATACTTGACGTCCCGGACGATTCTAAGCAACCAACCACCTCAGAGCTTCCAACCTCTGCAGCAGGCTCTCTTCATAGTAGCAACACTGAGCACTTAGATCACAATAAGCAGCTCTTTGTCCTCTGTAGACGCCTGAGCTGTTCCACTAGCAGTATTGCATCTAGCAAGGACTCTGACATTGCCACTCCCCTCACCACCCCTGCCAGACGCGCAGCGCCTCCGAAAAGGCTGAGCCTCCCAGCCCCTCCACACCCGTACCCCCTGACGAGCTACCTGTTGACCGCATGTCCTGAGAACCCTGGCGTTCCCTCCGGATCCGCCACCGCACCTCCCTCGCTTGTTCACTCTCGGTCCTCCCCTACCCTTCCCGGACCCTGGGCCTGGGCCCAACCTGATGCAAACCCTCCCCACGCTTCCCTTGCGTTACTAGAGCGCGCGTTGGTCCGGCGACATCGGCACAGCGTCTCTGGCCAGATGAGCTACTTCAAGATGCTGGGCTTCGGACTCTCTCCGGGCGGCGGCTTCGTGGTGCAACAGAAGAAACCGGGCTGTGGTTCTACCAGCTCGCTGTTCTCGACAGCTGTCATATCTGGCTCTAGCTCTGCTCCCAATCTACGGGACATGATCCCCAGCACTCCTTCAATATCAGGTATTTGTGTCGCAGCTATATTAAATCCTGTAAAATTACTTTCAGTTTTCCCTCCAAAAATATCTGTAGTCTTGTTTACTTATTTAAATCTTTCTCTTATACAAATGTTTCCAGCCATTGATGGATGTGGTGGAGTTCCCCCAATCAGACCGCTGGAGACTTTGCATAACGCCCTCTCCATGAAACAGCTAGACAGTTTCCTTGATGCAATGACTGCATCAATTCAACAAAAGACTCCAGCTCCTTCTCCTCCTAAAGTACCAAGCACACCAACACCTCAAAGTAAGAACTTGTAGAAATTCTCATGTGATTTGATTGGGTGGGTAAGCCTGCTTAGCCCCTTTTCCCATAACGCATTCCAGATAACACTCACGCCAGTGAATATTCCCTAGTAAGAGCATCACCAGATTTATCCAGATTCAGATTAAGTCTCCTCCAAGTTTCATCTCAGCCGGAATGCACTCCTCAGATTCCGGAAGAAAGTGGGAATGGATCTCAAGATGAAAACAAAGGGTGTGCTACAGCAGCAGGACTCTTTACTAATATACAACTAAATTAAATGCATTTAAAGCAAAGCTTGATTGTTCCCCGTTTTCTTTCAGTGAAAGTAGTGGCCCCAATCCCTAGTTTACAAATCCCATTCCTACCAATCAGGTGCTCCTATTTTAGAAGATTACTTGTATTGTAGTAGTTAGTTTCTTTCTATGTTATTTACATTTCTAATCCTCGTGGTTGTGAACTTTTTCAGGCACAAGTTGGAGTATGTGGAGCAATGATCCACACACATATGATGGAGGAGTAGATGTGTGTGGAGATGCAGGAAGTGAAGGAGGGGGTGTTGCAACTTGTGGGTGAGTACAGTTAATTTTCATAAGTTATAATGCTTCATATTTCCATCCAGTCTGTTGTCTTATAAATATTTTCGTCATATTTTCAGTTATGGTAATCTTGAACTCGGAGAAGCTCCTGGAGGAGGTACTTCTTAATCTATCCTAAAACAGCAATCATTCATTTTTGTGTTCATCCAACATTCCAAATTTGGTACTAGGAAATTTTATAATGCTTTCCTTTTTTCCAGTTTGTAGTGGTGAGCTTACCCCATGCTCTGCTGGTTCGGAGCTGGAATTTGAAGATGATGAAACAGTCCACGCCTCTCACAGTGATCCTGTGAATATTACACGAGATCGGCAGTATGAACGTCTTGTGGAAGGCCTCTCTTGTGTTTCCCAAACTCAGGGTTCACCTAGCATGTATTTGGATCCCATGCCAGATGCTGCAGGAAGGGAGGAGTTAACCACCCCAGTTTTGACTTTAGCCAGCAGTTTTACTGATAGTAGTTCAATTCAAAGAGGCTTTGTTATACCAGATGAAAATTTGAAAAAATAATTTTCACGTCTGCATTATAATGCTTGCAGGCTATTTTTATAGAAATGTTGATGTGTGATCTAGGATGATGTATACTGGAATATATTTAGTTTTAAACCCAATTTGTGTCTTTCACTCTTAAACCAAAAGTAAAACAAGGCTAATGAAGCACAAATTTACCACAGAGTATAAATTTATTTAGCCTATAAATAAAACAGCGAAGACAGGGAACAGTATGTTATGTTAAACAGATGAGGCAAAACCAAGGAATTTAATGTGACTGGAAATGATAATGAGACACACACCATTTGTAATGATAATAATTTTGCAACTGGGCTTTAAAACACAATCTTATCATTTTTTTTTTTCAACCATGCACATTTGATTTGAACAATACAATGGGTTTTCATTAATCCTCCACACCATTTACTTCTTTGACTTCTTCCTTCTCCTCACCCTCCTCTTCACCTCCACTGTTGTATGTCATGCCTTCATCCTCCTCTTCCTCATCATCATCTCCTGCAACTTCAGCATTTTCAAGTTCAGCCTTCTCCATTTGCCGCAGGAGATCAGCTTCATCAGTGGCTGTGACAACTTTGGGCTGTTAAAAAAGAATAGATATATTATTGAAGAATGCTGAGAGTAGGCCACATAAAATTATTAAACAAAATACACAACATACCGCCATTTGCATGGTAAACATGCCCCCCAAAGATTGAATGCTGTCTTTAATCTTTTCAATAGCTATGTTGAGGGCTTTTAAACCATCAGCCTTCTCAGGTGTTGATGTTGTCATAACTACAAAGAGAAAATTGCAATCATTAAAATATAAGGAACTGGCTTAAACAACTACTTGCTTGCAAATTTGTAAATAATGTCAAAATAACATACCGTACAAAGGAGGTGCAATTAGATTAATCTTGATGGGCAATTCCTCAGTGGAACACTCTAAACCAGCACGAAGAGCTTGCTTTACAGCATCGATACCTTCATAACCGTAACAGGCAACTTCAAAGTCTGAGCGGATCTTGACAGCTTGAGAAGTAAGTTTCCTTTTGATGTTGCTAAGAAGAACTTCTTGAGTTTGCTCATCTAAACCACATTCTGCCAAAATTGAAGGGTCTCTGTAGGGACATTTTAATGGATTAGAGTAATTTTTCAAAGGAATGACATATTATCACTGCAGAAAATTAACATCTTTCCAGAATAAATTATAAGATAAAATCCTACTCACAATACTGCTTGCTTGAATGCATCGTAAGCAGAACCTTTGCGAGTATCTTCAAAGTGCCATGCTGTCTTCTGGTAAAGCTCCTCAAGCTGTTCATCTGATTCATAATTGAGAAGTTCAGCAACATGGCGTAAAATAGAGTTCACAGCCTTGGCTTTCGCAAACCGTTCTGTACATTTCTCCACATCCTCAGGTGACACTCTTCGCTTACTCAGATCAATATATCCTGTTAAGAGACACATATCAGTAATAAAAGAAACCAAGTGATTAAAATAAATACTGAGCTGGAAAATTACCTTTCTCCTTGTCCACTCGGATGACAACAACTGGTTCTGTTTTACCTACTCTAATAAGCTTGTTGATGGAACGAATACGTCTCCTCGACAATTCTGAGAGAAGGATCATGCCTTCAATATTGTTATATTCCAGAAGGTGAACATAGGCACCCATCTCTGCAATGCTTCGAACATTTACCATTACAACATCCTCCACCTCAGGATATTTCTCCTTATAATATCGGCAGCTCTGCGGCATGGTGAAGCCTACAAAAAGAAAAGTTATATTAAAGCTTAAAATCTACTGCTGGAAGGCTGCTAGTACTCCAAAACTAGATGAAGCATCTGATGCAATATTTTTTGGTTGTAATGTAAGACGACTGAGTTTGCTGAACCAATCTCAATATTTAGAATATCAGTAATGTCGTATTCCTTGCGTCATAAAAAGCGGAATGACCGAATTTGAGTGAAAATAAAATATAGCACATATTAATGAATTGATAAGGTTAAGTGATATGAAGGTTTCCAACAGGCACTGTGTTATTGCAGAATGTGCACACAATGTCGAGACACACCAACAAATAGGTAAAAGTATCAGCTCTAAACAATGTCAAGAAAACTATGATTTGCTTTGAACGCTACCTTAAAGAATACAATTGACCAAATATTAAATTATTGTGAAGACAACAACATGTGGCAAACCACTGTCTCAGCGCACTGCCTTGTCTTGAATCAATAAAGGTTCCAGTATTACGCCGGCTGACTTTTTCCTAGATGTGTGAATGGTGGAATGTCGGCTTTTACGGCTTGTACTCTAAGTCATGTGACGTAAAACAACCAATGGGGGACCTCCTAAACACACGACTTAAAGGGAAAGAGTCGCCTTTCTGTGCAAGGACGTCTATGCATCCCAGAGCACAACTTTAATTTCAAGATTTTGCACGAAAGTGAAAAGTGAACGAAATCTTAGTCCACGTCCCTTACGTGTGTGATCGTGGTAAGAGATTTAGTGTTACATTACTAGCTATAAGAACTTCAATATCATTGACACGATTTTAATTAATTTCCACCTTGGCGGCTGGATCTTCATTGCATTCGTTAACATATGATGTCGAAGTGTGATGTGTGCCATGAAAGCATGCTTATACCGGCTTTGTATTAACTTTTTGTAATGATTTTTCCGTATGGTTGAGAAATGTGATCGACCGCCGTATTTAAAATTTGATTTTTGTGATTATTTCATTAGTATTTGTCGAGTTGTGGGGTTGTTGGCCTACTTTTAGCCCAGAGGTTAGGTTTCTTTCAGGTTATGTTGATATTTTATATTACTAATCTTCTTATCGTAATTTTAAACGTCAGATTTTATGCTTACGTATTCCAGTAGTTTAACCATTATTTGTCATACCTGCATCTTTGAATTGTCAACCGACATGACACTTCTGTGTAATTTGTGAACATCTGTTGAACTTGCTTAAACCTTCCCTAATAATCTGTAATTTTCTTTAAAAGGCCTGAAGAATCATGTCACGTCGAAAGGGACAAGAGGAATGTGACAAGCTTACCCGAATTGCTATTGTTAGCTCTGACAAATGCAAGCCCAAGAGATGTCGTCAAGAATGCAAAAAGTCCTGCCCTGTAGTGCGGATGGGTAAACTGTGTATAGAGGTTTCAGTTAGTGACAAAATTGCCAGTATTTCAGAAGAACTGTGCATTGGTTGTGGTATTTGTGTGAAGGTAAACATTGATTTTACTCTCAAATCTTCATTGATTTCATTTTTTTCTATGCTATAATTGTTATAAATGTTTATTTTCAGAAATGTCCATTTGAAGCCATCAACATCATTAACTTGCCTAGCAACTTAGAAAGGGATACCACTCATCGCTACTCTCAAAATTCATTCAAGCTCCATCGCTTGCCTATACCTCGCCCGGGTGAAGTACTTGGATTAGTAGGAACCAATGGTATTGGTAAATCAACAGCTCTTAAAATCCTTGCTGGCAAACAGAAACCAAACTTGGGTCGATACCTGGTAAGTTTCTTCATTATTCCTTCTTACTGTGCATTTGTTGTGTCGTTCAGTATGATGACTCATAGACAAGACTGAGGCGGTTTTCTCTGTCTTTCCTGTCTAAGTGAGTTTTTGACTCATGCTGTTCGACCACAAATAAAAAAGAGTGACAACAGATGGATTGGCGGTCTCATTTTTCCTGTGGTTAGAATTGGTCCAAAGCGCATGTCTTCATTTTAATTCCATTTTATTTTCTCCCAGAATCCTCCTGACTGGCAAGAAATTTTAAATAACTTCCGTGGCTCAGAGCTTCAAAACTACTTCACCAAGATTTTGGAGGATAATTTGAAGGCTTTAATCAAACCCCAGTATGTGGATCAAATCCCAAAGGCAATCAAAGGAACGGTGCAGGAACTTCTTGACAAGAAGGATGAGCGCAATAACCAAAATGAAATTTGTGATATGCTGGGTACGTTTCTTTTCTTTCACTTTGCTATTTTTCATGCTCAAAGTTGTCTTGAAACATTGTAAAGAATTAATGTTATTAAACAGATCTACAAAAAATCCGTGGACGTCAAATTGATCAGTTGTCTGGTGGAGAATTGCAACGGTTTGCTTGTGCTATGGTATGCATTCAAGATGGAGACATTTTCATGTTTGATGAACCATCTTCATACCTGGATGTGAAACAGCGATTAAAAGCTGCCGTCACCATTCGTTCACTCATCCAGGCTGACAAGTATGTCTATCTTATTTATCTATCTATTAAAAAATGTCACTAGCATGGATGGCGCATTATTGTTCTGTTGAGGATGAGTTTCTGAAATGTTGTTAATATTTTTAGGTTCATCATTGTTGTTGAGCATGACTTGTCTGTATTAGACTACTTGTCAGATTTTATCTGCTGTCTATATGGCGTGCCGGGAGCCTATGGTGTGGTTACTATGCCATTCTCTGTCAGGGAAGGTACGTGATTGCTTTTTCTGTTACTCAATTTTGTTCTACTTTCATCATGTAATTTAAAAGTTAATAAATATATTTTATGTAGGTATCAACATTTTCCTTGATGGTTTTGTGCCCACTGAGAATTTAAGGTTCCGAGAGGAATCTCTTGTTTTCCGTGTGGCGGAATCTGCAACTGAGGAGGAAGTTAAGAGAATGAACCATTATGAGTATCCCACGATGTCAAAACAACTTGGAAGTTTCAAACTTGCTGTTGAATGTGGGCAGTTCACGGACTCAGAAATTCTGGTTCTTCTTGGTGAAAATGGTACTGGTAAAACTACTTTTATTCGTATGCTTGCTGGTAAACTACCACCTGACACTGGTTCAGGGGATCTCCCAGTGCTGAATATTAGTTACAAACCCCAGAAGATCAGTCCGAAGTCTCAAGGAGTTGTGCGTCAGTTGCTTCATGAGAAAATCAGGGATGCATATGTCCATCCTCAGGTAAGTTCATTTATAGATAATTGGTTCCCTTTTTCATGTTAAGATTTTAACTATCATTAAGCGTATTAATTTCTGACAATTTTTGCAGTTTATTACTGATGTTATGAAGCCTATGAGAATTGATGATATTATGGACCAAGAAGTCCAAAACTTATCTGGTGGAGAACTCCAAAGGGTTGCCATGACTCTCTGTCTTGGCCAACCTGCCGATGTTTATCTTATTGATGAGCCATCTGCCTATCTGGATTCTGAGCAGCGTCTTGTTGCTGCTAAAGTTATCAAGAGGTAAGAGCACACTGTGCTACTTAAGCTCTGTGTATAAGGGACAATCTTGACTCAATATTTAATATTTTGGTAATTTTCTCAGGTTCATCTTGCATGCCAAGAAAACAGGCTTTGTGGTTGAGCACGATTTTATCATGGCTACTTACTTGGCTGACCGTGTTATTGTATTTGAGGGTTCGCCTTCTGTAGATACTACTGCTCACAGTCCTCAATCCCTTCTGAATGGTATGAATCGTTTCCTGGAACTGTTGGGTATCACTTTCCGACGTGATCCCAATAACTTCAGACCTCGTATCAACAAAAACCAGTCAGTTAAGGTACCGTAAATTTTCATTATGTCTATCTATTGATTATGCCTACCACTCCAAACAATAATCATTCATATCAACTTTCTTGACAGGATGTCGAGCAAAAACGAGCTGGCCAGTATTTCTTCCTTGAAGAATAAATTTTATCTAGACATCAAGTGCTGTACCTGATCCTCACACAGAAGTAGATCATGATTTTATGTCAGGGAAGCAGCTTAAGCCAATTGCTCAGCATTTCATTGAAGGTACAACCAACCTACTCATGCCCATGCTGCTTTATTATTAAAGTCTATTACTGAGTAAGCTAAAGTAAATGATTTTTTATAATTAGAAAAATCCTCATGTACATGTATTGATTTAACTTTTTTTAATTTCTACTTCATTACTTGCAAATTGATGTTTAGAAGAAAAAAAAAACAGCCCTCATCTCTCTCAACTTTACAGTATGACATGTATTTCAACTTTCTGCTGGTAACAGAAATGTCATCCTTGAATAGAACACTTTTTTAAAACTATTTATATATGACTGGATCATATGTTGGGACACAATAGGTTAATCTCATTATTAAAAATAAATGTTAAAATTTGTCTATTTTGTTTATGACAAATAATGAATGAATTACATCAAGATGACTGCTCCTTGCTAAAATGAGTAATTTTTTCCAAATGTAACTTGACAAGTTTGTTTCACCCTCATACTAATATTTTCTATCCTGAAAATATCATCTCAAATCCCAATCTAGTTCTTCAGTATCTTCACTTTCAACTAAATCTAATCCTTCAGAGGGGAAATCTGTAAAAGACACCAAAACTAAATTAGATTTTAAAGTATGTTAAGGGGAATTCTGCAAAGAAAACAAAACATTGATACTTGCCTCCTGTTGCATGACTAGTAATTTCTCCAAAACTTGTGTCTTTCAATACATCTATAATTTTATTCACTTTGCTTGGTAGAATTTCCCCTTGACTTACATCCCTCAGAAAATTTTCTCCATCACTAAAAGTCTGAGATCCATCAGGGGGAGCTCTTTCAGAACAACGTTTCCTCCCTCCACAGACACAGAACTCTCCTTCACTGCAGCTGCAGCTCTCGCTAGCACTGCTCCGCAATTCTCCGTCAGAGAATGATACCTAGAAAAATATTTGATGAACCCAATATTGTAAAAAGGCAGCAACAATTGTATTAAAAGTATTCTTTGTTGTCCTACATACCGCAATGGTGCTTTGAAGTAAATGAGATGAGGTTGAAGAGGAAGTGGGAGACTTGCGAATATTTGTCTCCAACTGTCCAGTTGGTAGAATTCCCATGCGCCCATAAGCCAGCAATTCTGAAGTTAGATCATTGTCATACGAAGATGGTAAATGTCTTTTTAAGGTGCTCAAAGTCTTGAAGTCTTGGAGCACAAGTGGAAGACTGTGATTAGGTAAAGTAAACTGATTGTGCTTTCTTGGCAATACCTTGTCTTGAGACATAACAGGTTTTATGGGACTTGTTTGTACAGTTTGATCCATCATGACAACTTTGGCTGCACTTGAAGCAATTTTATCCCTTGTTCCTGTGTCCTCCGACACTTTAGTTTGAGTGACAATCTTACTTTGTTCTTCTCTCACTTGATTTTTTATTTCACTAGCAATACGATTGATTCTTTCATTTTCCTCAATAGTTTTCACTCTTACATCGAGTTCAGCTAGTGTTTTCTGCCATCTTTTCTCAACATCTGTAATGACTTGATCTTTGTGGGATACTAAGGTGGGGTGATCTTTGGTATCACTGTCACAATTCTTGGTTTTCCATCGATTTTCGAGTTGCCAGTTAAGTAGAATAGCACTTTGTAGCTGAAGATCCTCCCTTAAATTCAAATCCCATCTTTTAAAACTGCGTGGTGGACGCCTAGGTTCATAATTTATTTCAGCATCTGAACTGCTACTGCATGAGCTTAGAAGTCTAGCTTGGCTTCTTTTCCGCATTCCATGAGGAGGCTTAGTCTTGCTTTCATCATGGGGTTGTTTGGCCTCAGTTTCTTTCATTAACGATATGTTTGTAGCCTTTCCTTTATCAGAATCCCTTATTTCATGTACAAGATGAGAAGAGTGCACAGGTACTCCAAGGTGAGACTTATCCAGGTCACTACCTGTTGTGTTTATCTGTAACTCTTTCAGTTCTTCCCTAACAACAGAATTTTTATCTTGAGATAAGTAAGAGAGCTTATTGTTATCAACAGTGTCAGCTTCTTCATGCCTTACAGGACTTTCATCAACTGATTGTGACTTTTCATTATCTGCTATTAAAGGAGTGAGCAAATTCAAATTTAAGGACAAAGTTTCCATTTCAAGGGACTTTAGTCCTGGTTGAGGAGGCTTAATTAAATCTGAATCAGATACAGGTTGTAATTGTTCACTGTTTTTCAATGGAGTTTTGTCCATATTTAATTCGAGGTCTGAAAAGTAAAAGGGTGAGATACACAATTGTCTGGAAGAATAAAATATATAGATTAGACCTTGCACAACTTAACAAACCTGAATTCTGCAGTCCATTGTGATCTTCCTCTTCTTCCCAATCATCCTCGTATTCATCATGACTTATTCCTCCTGAAGGCACTTTAGTTATAGGCAACTGATGGCAAATTAAAAAAAAAAGTATTATTAAAAAAATAATTTCAAAAATAAAAATAGAAAAATAGTGTATCTACATTATGTAAATTGCATTAAAAAATACATTTAGGATAATATACTTACAGATGTATCTTGACTGCTGTTTTTCCCACTTTTTTCTTGAGGGGAATCTAAACTGGAGCTGGACTTGCAGCTTCGTATCTTGAAAGGAAAAGTTGGTGTGCCTTTGTTTATAGAAATATCTTCACTACTGTTTTTAGCAGAGCTTTTGTATTCCTCATGACCATCACTTTGATAAGAACCACTTGTTGCACTGTGGTACTCTGGTACAGATTTATGTGTATCACCCAGTTGCAACCTTAAAAAATCAATGTTAAAAATTACATTTATAAAACTAGACATATTTTCAGTTTTTTGAAGTCTTGGAAATACTAACTCGACTGCTTGTCTTAATGGACCAATTAACAGATGATTTTCATTCGCATTACGGGATTGTTGGATTTCCTTTTTCTGCTTTGACAGTTCTTTTCGTCTACGCTCAGTTGCACGTTTTTGCACTAGCATGTTATGCTCCGCTGCATTTTTGTAAGTCTCTAAGAATCGAGACAAACTATCATAAGCTATAGGACATTTGCTACTTTCGGAGGCAGATGAAGAAATTGGTGATACAGGAATTTCTTTAGTCTCAATCTTACTCGGTTCTTCAGGAGTGATCTTGGTTCTGGAAGATTAAATTTTCAGAAATGATGCTATTTGGTAGAAATTTCATTGCACAATAGTGATATTTACCTTCCTTGTGCTTGAGAGTCAGAGCACACGCGAGAGAGGAGATATCTATAACCAGAACAAAGAGAGGAACAATGAAAGAAAAACAAAAAAAATCTCAATATATTTTGAAATTACTAAATTAATGACCAACCGCAAAACATGATTAACTTGTGTCTGGTTAATCTCACGCAATTCTTCCACCTCCATCAACTGTTTTGAAAGTTGAGCAAGTGTGGTTTTTAAATCTTGAGGGAAAAGAAAAAGACAAATGAAAATATAATCTACCAGTACTTATGTAAAAGTCAAAATATAAGAGTACTAACTCAAATCATCAGTTGCACATTTTATGTTTTCCTTGTCTTGATTAGAAGTGTTTTCAATTTCTTTGCAAGTTTTCTGCTGGCTAGGTTGATCTTCAGGGATGGTCACTGCAAGAAAACTCTTGGTATTAATAATGCAGAAAAGATCTGTCAAAAGGCAATTTTATGGTGAAACTAGTACTTACCTTTATCATGTTTTATGCTGAACACCGAGACATTTGGTGTCACTGTTTTTTCTCCAGGTGGCACTTGGATTGAGAGGATAGATTGCTTCTCCAAACCACGTTTAATGGACACTGAGGGAAGAAGTGCTTGTTGCAGCCTGTAGATGCAAGTATTCTAAAGCATATGTTGCAATAATTTTGAGTGGATAACAAATGGAAAACAGTTTCATACCTTGGTTTTCGATTTTGTGTTTTATTTTCATCTGCTTGGCTTTTCACCTCAAAGATACCAACATTAGTCACTTGAGAGACAGACAAAGGCTTATTTTGATGAAATGTAGTTGATACATGTTGATCCAGAGAGGCTGAAACATGGCGTGCCATAGCCAGTGCATCCTGCACTTTTTCCCTCGCAGATATCACAACTCTCTCTTTAAAAAAGTAAAATTAATTAAGTATTACACTGTTTTTCACTGATATTTGACACCAGAAAATTATAAGAATTCAAATTAAAAAGCACCTGCAGAATTTGAATTGCACTTGGGTTTTCTGTTTGACTGATGAGGCTGTTGTGAACCTGATAAACCTGGATCAGCATTGGTCTCTGATAATGTGTTGCGAATCATGACTTTCTGTTCATTTGGACAACCACCTTCAATTTGAATTTGTTTCATCGGCATCACTTTGTTTTGTTTTGGTTGTTTGTCATAAGTAGAGGTAGAATCTTTTGAATACGATAAACTCTATGAAACAAAAAGAATATGAACTAACCATACATAAATATGATGAGTTTGTTGATTCATCTAGGTGACAAACCTTTAGTTCGTTTTCTAGAGTATGTATTCTTTCGTTCATTGAGGACTTCAGCTTATCTGTTTTTGATGATAAATGTAGACTGGAAAAGAGATTTAGTCCAAATATTTTGTCTTTGAAGGAAATAAATTTATTCATTTCTAAAGTGAGAGTTACCTTAAAGTTCTTTGAACCTGCATGTCTGCTTCCATTTTCCGCAATGTATTGTGTGTTTCTTCTATGAGTCGCTCAGCTTCCTGAACAGCCTCCTCATCTTCTACTGGCCACAACCATTCTGGTAACTGGGCTATAAATCCAAAATATAAGAGGAATTAACGTATTTTTAGAGCTAAACCAATGGCATTTAAGGCCAACATACTTCCACAATGTTAAAAACAGATTGAACCACCTGCAGGTTAAATACCTCAATGTAAGAAAAAAGAAGGTAAAATTCAGCTACTTACACATTTTAACAAGAACGTATAAAGAATGAATATCTGTGCTAGTTCTGCAACAAATGGCATTTGTTGTCCGTTATAGGTTTAGGCACTTATCATTGATTGATTGATGTAAACAAAATACCACATCAGCCTTTCAAATTTGATGACAACAGTTACGCGCGCCGCATTACCAACACAATACGAACCCCTAAAAAACAACAACATTCATTCAGATTTCAAAATGTTTGACTTAAATTCGTTCGTTATAGTTTCGAATTGTATTCAATAATATATTTGACCCCATTGGATGGTGCAATGAAGACACCCAAGAGGGCCAATCAAGTACATTTTGTTTTGGGCGTTGCCAACATTGTCTGAGTACTCTGCAAACAAATCGCAAGCGCCGCAAGCTACGTATCTCTCCGATCGCCGCCTGTTCCGGATAGGATTCAAATTCTCGCGCGACCCTGTGATGAGTGCGGAAAGGAGCACAGCGCTTCATGTTGTGGGCTAAGCGCCAGATTAAGCGTAGTAGTAGTTGTCTAGTAATGCGCTAGACTAAGTGCCAATCTCGCGTGTCACGGTGCACCATGCCACACGAGGGGGGAGGGAGGTGCAGAACACAAACACCTGCCGTCGGATGATTCGCAGCGCCAAAATATGGGCGTGGGCGTGGACCAGGGAGTCCAGGCAGAGGTCCCAGATCATCATCGGGCCGCTGGTCAGGTATAACCAAAACCCTCCCCTACTGACCCAGATTCCGCCGCCCGCCCCCTGCCCGCCCCGTGC